GTAGAGACTTTAATTAAATGTTTTGAGATAGTTGTAGATTTGCATAGAGTTGTAAGAAACAGTACAAAGGGATTGTATATATACTATATAGTTTCCCCATTTGTAATGTCTTATAAAACTGTAGAGTACAGTATCACCATTAGGATATCAACATTGCTATAGTCAAGATGCACTACATTTTCATCACCACAGAGATCCCTTCTTCCATATTTTATTTTTTGGTTTTGGATACAGGGTCTCACTATATAGCTCAGGCTGGCCTCAAACTCATGGTGATCCTCTTGCTTCTGCCTTCCAAGGGCTGGGATTATGGGTGTGTGCCACTAGGCCCTGCTTCTTTTGCACTTTTTTTTTTCCTGTGTAGTTCAGGGTGAACTTGAACTCACTTTGCAGGCCAGGCTGGTCTCCAACTTGGAGCAATTTTCCTGCCTCAGCCTCCCAAGTGCAGGGATTACAGGTGTGCGCCACCATGCCCCGCCTTCTGCACTTTCTTTATGTTTTTTTTTTTTTTTTCGTTTTTCTTCCGGTACCAGCAATCGAACTCACGACCTCGCCCTTGCCAGGCAGGCGCTTTGCTGCTGAGGTAAATCCCCAGCCCCCTGCTGCACTTTTAAAGTTATGTTTTCTTCCCTCTTAACTTCAAGATCTCCTTCACTGCTGGAGCCATGGATCTCCTCTCCATTTCCATAACTGTCATTTCAAGAATGTTACATAAATATAATCATATAGAATGTAACCTTTGGAGATTAGCTTTTCACTTTTCCCTCTCCTAGTATGCATATACCAGTTTGTAATTGTTTACTTGTGAAAGGTCATCTAGGTTGTTTTCTAGTTTGTGGCTATTATGAGTAAGCCTGATATAAAAATTTGTCCCCAGCTTTTTGTGTGAATTTAAGTCTTCCTTTCTTTGAGTTAAATGATCAGGAGGAGTACAATTTTTGGGTCATATAGTAGATGCATGCTTTATTTATTTATTTATTTTTGTCTTTTTTTTTTTTTTTTTTTTTTTTTTTTTGAGACGCAGTTTCACTATTTGTTCAGGCTGGCTTTGAACTTACTTTGCAGCCCAGGCTGGCCTTGAGCTCACAATGATCCTCCTGTCTCAGCCTCCCAAGTGCTGGGATTGTAGGCAGTTTTTAACATATTCTTGATGGTACTTGACGATGTCACTATTTTAGCCATTTTGAAAAATATATAATGTGGTTTTAATAATTGCAGTTCCTTAATAGTGAATGATGCAGAATTTTAAAAATGTGTTTAATTGTTATCTGTATATCCTTTTTGGTGAAACGGCTTTTCATGTATTCTGCCTATTTTCTGATTGGATTGGTTGATTTTTTTCACAGTTAAGTTTTGCATGTCCTGTGTCTGTTGTAGATACTAGTTTTTTTTGGTCAGGTATGTGACTTGCAGACATTTTCTACCAATCTTTTAATTCTTTTAACACATCTTTGGGAGAATAGAAATTTTTAATTTTCAGTAAGTACAATTGGTCGTTTGTTTTTTTTGTAAATTGAGGTTTTTTTTTTTTTGGTATTGGGAATTGAACTCACGACCTCATGCTTGCTGGGCAGGTGCTGTGCTGCTTGCTGAGCTACATCCCCAGCATGTAAATTGAGCTTTTGGTGTCAAGTCTGAGATGCTCTTAATTCTGATCCTGGATCCTAAGGTTTCACTTACTTATTTTTTTTTCCAATAGTTTTAGAATTTGACATTTTACATTCTTTTTTTAAAAATCTTTTTCTTTTCTTTTTTTTTGAGACAGTATTTCACTGTGTAGTTTAGGCTAGCTTTGAGTTCACTACATAGTGCAGGCTGGCCTAGAGTTCACTATGTAGTGCAGGCTGCCCTGGAACTCACAGTAATCCTCCTGCCTCAACTCTAGTGCTGGAATTACAGGCGCACGCCACCACACCTGGTTGATAGTTTATATTCTTAAGTCCAGTTTGAATATATTTTTGTACGAGGTATGAGACTTAGGTTGAGTGTGTTTTTGGGAGATGAACTGCTGATGGACATCCATTTGTTCCCATACTTTGTTGTAAAAGCTCTGCTGTCCCCATTACATTGTTTTTTTGTACTTTGTGAAAAATCAGTTGGGCATATTGATATACTTCAGGGTTTTCTGTTGTATTCATTGATCTATACGATCTGTTCCTTCACCATTACTACATATTTTTGGTCACCGTAGCTATATAATAAGTCCAAAGTCAAGTATATAAATTTTAGAATGATCTTGTCTATACCTACAACAAATTGTGCTAGGATTTTGATTAATTCTATATAGCAAGGATTGCATTAATTCTATATAGCAATGTGGGGAGAACTGATTAGTTACTATGTTGAATCAGTCCATGAATATGATATGCCTATGTATTTAACATTGACATTTTTGGTCAATGTTATATAGAGTTTTCAGCTAAGAATCCTATATATGGTTTGTTGGGTTTAGTCCTAGTATTTCTTTTTTTTTTTTTTTTAGTCCTAGTATTTCTTTTTAAAAGCAACTGTAAATAGTATTGTGTTTTTAAATTTCAGTGTCCATGTTTTCATTGCTAATTGCATCGTTTGAAAATAGGGACAGTTTTGTTTTTTCCTTTCCAAGCAGTATGCTATTTATTTATTTATTTATTTATCTGTCTATCTTTCTATTTATTTATTTATTTTTGCCTTATTGCAAGAGCACCCGGTGCTGTGTTGAATAAAAATGATGAGAGTGGACATCCTTGGCCTGTTTCTGAGCTTAAAGGGAAAGCAGTCTTACCATTGAGCATAATAGTACCTATAGGGTGTATTTATATACTGTTTATCAAATCAAGGAAGTTCCCCTTTATTTTCATTTTTCTAAGATTTGGGGTGTGTGTGTGTGTTTTTGGAGATAGGGTCTTGCTATGTAGTCCAGGCCGGCCCTGAACTCACTATGTAGCCCTGGCTGGCCTCAAACTTGGCAGCAATCTTGGCTTAGCCTCAGTGCTGAGGTTATAGGTGTGCAGCAACCACGCCTGGCCTTTGTGTGTGTTTGTGTGTGTGTGTAGTACTGAGGACCAAACCAGAGGCATTTTACCACTAAGCTACATCCCAAAGTCCCTTTTATTTTTTATTTTCAAACAGCATCTGGCTAAGTTGCCCAGGTAGGACTTAGATGTAGGATCCTTCTGCTTCAGCTTCCAGGGACTGGGATTACTGGCATGCATCTGAGTTTTTTGTTTTTAAGTGGGTGTTGACTTTTGTCACATGCTTATTTGCTTCAGTTGCTGGGATCGTTTGACATTTTTTTTAACTTTAGCGATGTTAATATGGTAGATTACATTGATTTGATTTCTAATATTGAGGCAGCATTGCATTCTTGGATTAAACCTCATCTCATGGTGTGTATCATTCTTTTTATGTATTGTTAGCGTACTGGCTGGTATTTTGATGAGGAATTCATGATAACATCTTTGTTTGTTGGTTTGTTTTCTGAAACAAAGTCTCCCTATGTATTTCACGCTAGCCTCGAACTCACTACATATGCACTGGTGGCGATCCTCCTGCCTCAGCCTTCTGAGTGCTGTGATTGTAGGCATGCCACCACTGTGTCCTGCTCCCTTTTGATTTCTTCTTTGACTGATATTATTTAGAAGTCTCTTGCTTAATTTTCAGTTTTTTTTTTTTGGTACTGAGAATCGAACTCACAACCTCGTGCTTGCCAGGCAGGTGCTGTGTTGCTGAGCTATATCCCCAGTCCCTTGATTTTCAAATATTTGGTTCATTTTTGGGGGTGGGGGGATATGGGAATCAAACTCAGGACCTTGTGCCAGCAGGCAGGCACTTATGCCACTGAGCTATATCCCCAGCCCAGTTTTCAAATATTTGGAATATTCTAAATATCTTAGTTACCAATTTTTTTCAGTACCTGAGGTTGAATCCAAGTGCTTTATCACTCTCCTATACCCTCTGCCCTTTTTATTTTTAATTCTGAGATAAGGACTTGTTAAGTTGCCCAGGCTAGCCTTGAACTTTTAGTCCTGCTCTAGCCTTCTGAGTTGCTGGGATTACAGGCATGCACTACTGTGCCAGTGTCTAATTTCAAATTTAATTGTAGACAGAATATACTCTGTGATTTTGGTCCTTTAAAATTTATTCATGCTTATTTAAGGGCCCCTGTATGTTGCTGAATGTTCCATGTGGACTACAAAAGAGTGTATTCTGCAGTTGTTAGGTGTCATATTCTTTTGTGTCTTCAGTTGACTTTTTTTTATCTTTTTGAGACAGGGTCTCACTATGCAGTTTAGGCTGGCGTTGAGCTGACTTTGTAGTCTATGCTGGCCTTGAACTCGCAACAGTCCTCCTGCCTCAGCCTCCTGAGTGCTGGGATTACAGGTGTGCGCCGCCATGCCTGGCCAGTTGACTTCTTTTTGAGTTCAGAATTTATCATTAACATTATTTATTGACCACATATTCTTTTTGAAAGCATTGAGCTACATCCCCAGTCCTTTCTGTTTTTTCATTTTGAGACAGGATCTTGCTAAATCACCCAGGCTGATATTGAACTTGTGATCCTCCTGCCTTAGCCTCCCCAGTAGCCACCATGCCCAACTGGTCAGTGTTACCTTTAATTTGTGTTTAAAGCATTACAAAATCTTTGCTATTAAGTAATATTGCTTATTAATATGCATATTCATGAGAAAGGTTTTTTTTTTTAATGCTTTTATTTATTTATGTATTTTTTGGTATTTTTGAGACAAGGTCTCGCTATGCAGTTCAGGCTGGCCTTGAGCTCACTTTGCAGCCCAGGCTGGTCTCGAACTCACAACAATCCTCCTACCTCAGCCTCCCAAGTGCTGGGATTATAGGCCTCTGCCACCACACCCAGCCCTTAATACTTTATTACCTCAGTTAAGAATGTGGTAGAATATGTATTAAGAAACACCTGGTATAGAATCTGACATAATGTTTTCTGAGTTTAATTATAGATGTCTGTTCTTCAAGGTGCATTTTGTGGTTCCCCTCTTTCACAGTGTCTCACATCTGAAACATGGCTACAGATTGGCTGGGCAGTATTGTGTCCATCAACTGTGGAGACAGCTTGGGTGTCTACCAAGGAAGAGTGTCAGCGGTGGACCAGGTCAGCCAGACCATTTCCCTTACCCGGCCTTTCCACAATGGAGTGAAGTGTCTTGTGCCTGAAGTCACCTTCAGGTAAGAGTCTTGACTCCTCTAAGTCAAGCCTAGGGGTCAGTGGTGCTTGAAGAAGTCTGATTCTCTTGGATGAAGCTGCTTTTGAAAATAGTCTTGTCAGGTGTGAGATTTTGTAGAATTGAGTCTTAAACCAGGGCAGCAGAGACCTTGTGTTCTAATTAGCTTTCAGCTGAGAACTCAGGTAAAACTTGTTTGTAAAACTTTTTTTCATTCTGTGGTACTGGGGATTGAACCCAGGGTGCTCTACCACTGAGCTATACCCCCAGTACTTTTAAAAAAACTTTAGGATAGGAGCTTGCTAACTTGCCAAGGCTGACCTTGAACTTAAGAAGCACCTTCTCTAGTTTCTCAAGTAGCTAGGATTACAGGAATGTACCACCATGCCCCACTGTAAACCTCTTCTTACCTCTGGTTCAAGAATGCACTTGTACATGATTTAAGTTTAGCATAAGCTTTTGCCTATAGTTTTTACTTGATCTTAGCCAAAAGGTTGAGAAGCAATACCTATAGTTTTCATTTTATTGCTCAGTTCTGTTTCATTGTGCTTTTACACATTGAAAGTCCTTATTAATTTTTTCACCTGTATAAATGTGTCTGTCTTTGTAGATTTGTACACATTATAATTTATTTCTAGAAACACACTGTAACCAGTAACTAAAGTCCTTAGTTCCAAAAATCTTTTTTGTTTTGTTTTTTTCTCCATTCTCAATGGCCTTTTCTGAGTATCTGCCAGTTGATTTCAAGTTTGTTTGTTTGTTTCCTTTTTTGGTACCAGGAATTGAACTCAGGACCTTGCACTTGCCAGGCAGGTGCTTGTGCTGCTGAGCTATATCCCTGGCCCTCAAATTTACTTTTTTTTTCCTTGTAGTACTTGGGTTAGAACTCAGGGTGCTCTATCACTGAGCTTTATCCCTATCTTTTTTTAATTTTTCAGACAGCATCTCACTGAGTTGCCCATGTTGGGCTTGAATTTGCGATCTGCCTACTTGTGTAGCTATGGTTACAGGTGTGTGTCAGTCTGTTTGGCAGACAGCTAACCCATTTTAACATGCGTAAAGAAAGGCTATCAGGCAGGAGCTGTTTTGATTCTTCTGAACAGTTCCTTCCCTATGCACACCCAGTTTAACCTTTCTGTGGGCATAGTCATTCTTACTGCTGACCTACTCTAGTCTCTGTGGACATATTCCTGTGTCCATGGGTTAAATGCTGTCATTGTCTGCCTCCTTGGATATCTTTTCAGTGTCTTGTTTCTTCAGTTTTCATATTACCTTTCTGCATTCTAACATTTTGAGGCCTCCTTCATGAAAACCCCCTCCCCCATCTTGCTTTTGTACTAGGTATGGCTCTGTCATTTCCCTTACCTTTGTGGCCACAGTTCCTGTCAGCAAAACAGTCCGCCTTCAGCCTTTTTGTGTCTTCATTTTTTAATCTGTCCTTTACCTTTTTTCTAATGTTATCATCTTCCTGAAATAGTTCAGCTTCATGTGTACCTTCTTATATATTAATGTGACCTACATTTTTATCTTCAGTTTAGGCATGTTGTCTGAGTTCTGTGTGCTTTTATTGTCTACTGGTAATTTCCAGTTGAATATTTTACAGGATATCTTAAATTCAAGGTTTTCGGGTTTCTTCTTTAGAGGTCTATCCATTACTGGTGACTTTACCAAAGTTTGGAATTTAGGGGTCATAATAAACTGTTCTTTCTCTTTAATCCTCATTTCACTTAATCACCAGATCCTGTGGCCCGTCCTCCCCTCTCCCTTTTTTATTGGCATTTAACTGGTTTGTCTCTTGTTGCTTGCCTGGTCTCCTGAATGGTCACCCCTGTCTTCACCTTCCTCTCAAGAAAAATCTATCATTGCCAGAATCTGCCCCCTGGTTACCTCTGAACCCTCAGTTCCTGATGACCCTTTATAAGCTTCCTTCCCTTCATAACGCTGTAGCATTTCCATGTCCTCACATTTTCAGGTTTCTCCGGACTCAGAGCCTCTGCTTGTAATTACTTTTCTCCCCACCATCCTCCACTTGGCCAGCTGTTATCCCTCTGACCCCTACCCTCAGACTTACCTTATGTGTTGAATCTACCAAATTAGTTTAGTCATTTTACTTTTAGGCTCTCTAGGACCTTACGCTCACATCTCTTGTAGCATTTAACACTTGATTATGTACTTGTCTTTTCCACTAACCAGACTGTGAGTTTCTTGTTGACATATACTGATTTTTATCTTTATATATTCTGTTCTTAGCATAAGGCTTTTCCCCCAGAGTGTGTACTCTTTTTTTTTGTTTTTGTTTTTGTTTTTTTTGTTTTTTTTTTTTGTTTTGTTTTTCTCCGGTACCGGGAACCGAACTCACGACCTTGCGCTTGCCAGGCAGGCGCTTTTGCCGCTGAGCTAAATCCCCAGCCCTGTGTACTCTTTTTTATGCCTGTTCACTGAGCAGGTAAGTGAATGAATAAAAAAAAAAGCTGTTAGGGATTCTGAAAATCTAAGGTGATAATGTAGCTTTTTTTTTTTTTTTTTTTTTGGTTTTTCTCCGGTACCGGGAACCGAACTCATGATCTTGCGCTTGCCAGGCAGGCGCTTTGCCGTTGAGCTAAATCCCCAGCCCCGGTAGCTTTGTTATTGACAATAGTGTCTTTAAGACCAGTGCTGTGTGAGTTGAATGTTAGTTACTAAGCCCTCTCTTTAAGTGCTCCACCACCATCCTTAGTGTTTACCTCTCATAGCTCACAGAAATGCAGTTTTGCAAAGGGGTAGCTGTTTGCTGTTGATCCTACTTTCATCTTTTTCATTATTGCAATTTTAAGTCTTGGACTCTTGTGTATTTCAGGGCAGGTGATATCACAGAACTAAAAATACTGGAGATACCAGGTCCTGGAGACAGCCACCACTTTGGAGACCCTCATCAGACAGAATTAGGTCCCTCTGCTGTTGGATACCAAGTGGGTATCAATCAGAATGGCACAGGCAAGTTGGTCAAGAAGCCGACTTCTTCCAGCAGTGCCCCTCAGAACATCCCTAAGAGGACAGATGTGAAGAGTCAGGATGTTGCCGTTTCTCCCCAGCAGCAGCAGTGCTCCAAGAGCTATGTGGACAGGCATGTGGAGCCCTTGAGTCAGTCCAAAAGCTTCCGTCGTCGGCATAACTCCTGTAAGTAGTCAAGGTGCTGTTTCAGGGCTGTGAGCTCCTACCACTGCTGCTCTTCAAACAATCTTTGTTACTGTAATGGAAAGGAAGCTGGCAGAGCTTCATAGGAACATAACATGGTTTGCTCATTCCAGGGCTAGCGCCTCAAGACATCAAGGGAAAGGAAGGAAGCTGTTAGAGATGCATGCAAGCTTTCTGCCCACTCCCACCACTTTCCTTCCTTCAAAAAAGTCCATGCTTCTGCACAGAGTTCGTTGAAACTGACTGTGGTGTTTTTTTTTAATCTACTTGAACCTGCACTTGGAGCTATGCTTCAGTCCCTTTTGTCTTGTTTTGTTTTTGAGACAGAGTCTTACTATGTAGTCTAGGCTGGCCTTGAACTCACTGTGTAGCCTAGACTAGCCTGCCTCAGCTCCCCGAGCGCTAAGTTTTGTTTTGTTTTAAACTTAGACACAGGGGCATGCTAAGTTGGCCTAGGCTGGCCTCACACTCTTAATCTTCTTTCCTCAGCCTCCTGAGGACAGGGATGATAGGTGTGTGCCACTGGTTTATTCAGGGAATTCTTGAGTAACTCTTTCTTTTTGCCGGATGACTCTGAGGAGACTGGTGTGGACATCTCTGTGGTCTTTCATTTTCTTTTCTCTTTTTGGTACTAGGAATCAAACTCAGGACCTTGTGTTTACCAGGCAGTTACTATGCCACTGAGCTATATCCCTGGTCCCATGGTCTTTCGTTTTCTGATTTTTTTTTTTTTTTTTTTTGAAACAGGGTCTTGCTGTATAGTTCAGGCTGTCTTCAACTCATGATCCTTCTGCCTCAGCCTTCTGAATGTTGGAATTTAGGCATGTACCACCATGCCTAGCTGGCATTTAAGTTTTCTGTGTTCCTATCCCTATTGGACACATCAAGGAGAGCATGTACCAATATGTATTGCTTCTCAGTTTTGGTTGATAATAAGAGACTATTGAATGTCATTTGCCAATTGTAGAACCATAGTTAATTTACTAGATTGGGTTATACTTTTTAACAAATTCACTTTTTTTTTTTTGTCTTTTTGAGACAGGGTCTCGCTATGCAGTTCAGACTGGCCTTGAGCTCACTTTGTAGCCCAAGCTGGTCTCGAACTCGCAATGATCCTCCTGCCTCAGCCTCTCGAGTGCTGGGATTACAGGCGTGCGCCACCACTCCCTGCAAATTCACTAATTTTTTAAAAGTAAATTATTCAGAAATATACTAGGTTATTTTAGAAAAACACAGTTTGATTGTTTCTTTGAACAGCAACAGAGCCCTTATCCGAGGTTTGAATTTTCAGAAAGGATCCTGTTATAAGTTACAGGGGCCTACTTTCCTGTCACAGTTCAAATACACAGAACCTGGCTTTCATGGAGGCTTGCAGGTTGCCCAGGAAATACATTGTTTGAGCCATTGCTCCACAGAGGGAGAAAGGGGCATTTTCTTCCTGCATCTATGTTCTCCATAGCCTAAGCGAACTTACAGGCCGTACACAGTTACTTCCTACCCTGTGTGAGGTTGTAGAGCAGCAGGAAGGCTTAGACATTTCCGGTGATCCCCTCTTCAACAGCCCACATTGTTACATTACATCACACATTGGTAGGCATCACTGAGATGGTTCTCCTCTCTGAACACCTTGTAGGCATGTGTGAACATATAGATTACCCAGGGGTGCCGAGGCACCAGTGGACAAAGCAGATCTTGATTATTTTCCAGGTATGCAGCATAATTGCCCTGTAACAGGCAAAGTCTGCACTGGGCTTAACCAATCTATGTGACCTTACTTGGCTCACCTGAAGGCTGAGTTGCATTGGGTAGTAATGGATTCCTGCCAGGCCGCATAATATTCCTGGTACCATTAATATACCAGTGGCGACTTTGCTATAAAGTTCCTCTTTCTGGCTAGGTTTTCAGACATCTGCTGAGTATGGCTTTGAGGAATTTTTTTCCACTTCATTGTTCTTACTGACAAGAAGAAGAGCATAGCTGTAGCCCATTCATCCATATAGGATTTCATTTGGAGCTCAGGGATCAGTCTTGTGTAGGTGAATTAGCCATGTGAGGCAGTCTTGTGCCTGTTTCTCATTGTTCATTTTGTGATACAGCACAGCAGCCCCTGCTGGGGGCCTGCATCTCTACACAGGAAAGTGATGAACACTTGCTCCAACATTCCAACTTTGCTAAAATTTCCATAGCAGTGTGCTCTCTGTAGCTAAGCAGGTTCCCCAAACATGCTGTAGAGATGTAAGCACAACACAGCAATACCTGCCCAGCCAGTGTAACTAGTGTCATGCTGAGGGTCGGCTGATGCTAGGCCTCTCTCCTTTTGCTGAGGGAACTCTTGAGTCTTACTGGTCAAGGGCTGTGAGAATGCAGGAGTCAGCCTCCCAGCAGAATCAAAGTAGCCTTTGGTAGGTATTCGCTGTAATCAGCACAAGATTCAGGAAGGCCCTTTCAGTAATAACACTAGAAGCTAGCCAGAATGAAGGGAACTGTTCTACACCCCAGGTACCTATGCCTGAGAGTTAAAACAAAGGCTAATGCTGCAGACTGAGGCCTTCCTGTGGCTGGACCTCATGCAGGCAGCATCTGAAAATCTAGAGAAAGTTGTAATTATGAATCATAACATACTCACATCTGTTATGTTCCTTAAATGAACATGAATGTTCCTTTAAAAAAATTACTTCTGAGAGGCAAAACTATTCTAACTTTGACTTAATAGTTTTTGCACCCAGAGATAGTGGCAGAATAGACTAGGAATTTTTTTTTAATTTTTTAACTTTAGGGGCTGGGGATGTAGCTCAGCGGCATTAGCTCTTGCCTGGCAAGCCTGAGGTCGTGAGTTTGATTCCCACTACCAAAAAACCAAAAATAAACAAACAAATTTTTTAACTTTAAAAATTTTTACTTTTATTAGTACATATTTGTAGTACATGATTAGATTAGTCTACCATGGTAGATTAGGAATTTTAAATGGGTATTCACTAACTCAGAGTTATACACTAGAGTCTTGCTGTGGCATTCTTGTCTGAAAGTAGAATTTAACGTGAGTTAGGTCAAAAATAAATAAATAAATAAATAAATAAATAAATAAAAATAAAGTGAATTAGGTCTTTCTGGAACCTCCATTCGGTGAATTTTTTGTAGCAAATTTTGGATGTTTCTTGCCACTGTTTCTTCTTAGTGATCCCAGAGGCTCTATAGCAAAGTTTCATTGTGCTGTGAGTTCTACCTTGTGAGGTGGTATCTGTAGCAGGGCAAATACATTTATTTGTGCTTAGTTTCTTTTTTTTCATTAGCATATGTTTGAAATACATAATGATATTCATCTTGGGGAATTAGTACCTATACACATAATTGCATCTTAATCATTTTTACTGCTCCTTCCCCTCCACACCTTCCTATCTTTCCCATCTCCAGGTCCTCTTCCCATCTCCACAGAGCTTCCCTCCCAGTTTCCTGTCATCTTTTATTTTGCTCTTTAGATTATTTATATTTTGGATTTTCCTATATGAGAAATCATCATTTTATGTTTTATGTTGTGATGCAACTGAAAAACAAGATTTAAAAAAAATTTTAATTTTAATTTTTTTTTTCCAGTGCCAGGAATCGAACTCTTGACCTTGCGCTTGCCAGGCAGGCGCTGTGCCACTGAGCTAAATCCCCAGCCCCCCCAAATTTTAATTTTTAAAAATTAGAGTAGTATTTCAATGCCATTTAGATGGCTGTGAAGCAACTATCTGAATTGAGGATGACTGAAATTCAATTGTTATGTCTGTATCCTTAGAAGAAGCACAGAATGTGTAGAAAATGACTTACTCTATTTCACTTGCTACAAAATGATTCATTCTATTTCACTTGCTTTATTCTTTTATTCTTCGCTTCTTTCTTTTCTTAAAAACTTTTTTCTTTACCAAAAACACTGACTTGTTAAAAGTTATAATATCCCATGTACTTGGAGATGACCTTTGTTAGTCCACATAATTTTTCTTACATATTTATAATATATGGTGTGTGATGTAGTTAACAAACCAATTTTGATACATTATTATTAAAATACCTATTTTATTCAGATTGCCCTAGTTTTTTGTTGTATTTTGTTTTTGTCTTTTTGAGCCAGGGTTTTGCTGTGCAGTTCAGGATGGCCTTGAACTCACTTTATAGCCCAGACTATCCTTGAACTTGCAGGGATCCTCCTGCCTCAGCCTCTCGAGTGCTGGGATTACAGGCGTGTGCTACCACACATGGCTGCTAGTTTTTTATATGTTATACATTTCCCTTTATACATTGCATTAGCTGCAGCCTACATATTTTGATTTTGTATTTTTATTTCATTCTGTTAAAATATTTTCTAATTCTCAAGAATTCTTATTTGGTTCATGAATTATTTAGAAGTATTCCAAATATTTAGGGATTTTTTTCCACATACCTTTCTGTTACTGATTCCTACTTTAATTCTAGTAGAGTTGGGGACCTTAATTTTCTTTTCTTTCTTTTTTTTCCAGTACTGGGAATCAAACTCATGACCTCGTGCTTGCCAGGCAAAATACACCTCGTGCTGTGCCACTGAGCTAACTCCCCAGCCCCCAAGGGACCTTAATTTTCATGATTTCTAGTTTTTAAAAATTTTTAAAGTTTGTCTTATGGCCTGATTACTCAGTACAATAGATATTCCATGTATACTTGAAAAGATAGCTGGGCATGGTGGCGTAGGCCTGTAATCCCAGCACTAAGGAGGCTGAGGCAGGAGGATCGTTGTGAGTTTGAGACCAGCCTGGGTTACAAAGTGAGCTCAAGGCCAACCTGAACTGCATAACGAGACCCTGTCTCAAAAAGACAAGAAAAAAAAAGATAACATATTCAGTTATTATTGGATGAAGAGTCTGTAGACGTCAATTAGGTAAAACCAGTAGTGCTTTAAGGACTTTGGTATCTTCTCTGAATTTTAGTCTACCTGTTCTACCAATTACTGAGAAAGAGAAGAGTTTTGA